TCATGATCCAATGGCTGGAAGTTGAAGCTAGACAAATTCAGACTGGAAATAAGGCGTCCGTTTTTGGCAGTGAGGGTAATTAGCCATTGGAACAATTTACCAAGGTTCAGTCTCCATCACTGACAATTTTTAAATCACAGTTGCCTGTTTTTCTAAGATGTGCTTGAGGAATTAGTTTGGGGAAGCTCAGCGGCCTACAAATGATCATACGGATCCTGTTTGGCATTGGAATCGATACGCTAGGGTTGCCAACTGTCTAATGGCACAAAACTGAACACCTCTGCCCCAAGTGGGAGGGATAGCTCAGTGGTTTGAGCATTGGCCTGCTAAACCCAGGGTTGTGAGTTCAATCCTTGAGGGGGCCACTTAGGGAGCTGGGGCAAAATCAGTACTTGGTCCTGCTAGTGAAGGCAGGGGGCTGGACTCTATGACCTTTCAAGGTCCCTTCCAGTTCTAGGAGATGGGATATCTCCATTAATTTAAGGCCCAACCCCATCACTCACTCTCCCCCACCCCCACTCACTTTCACCCAGCTGGGGCAGGAGGTTCAAGAGCAGGAGGCGGGTGAGGGCTCCAGGGTGGGGGGTTTGGGTTGCATGAGCGGGCTAGGCCAGGGGATAATGGGCTTTGGGTGCAGGCTCCAGGTGGGGCCAGAAATTAGGGTTTCAGGTTTGGACTGAAGGGTTCAGAGTGCAGCTGCATACGGGTAAGGACGGCCCTGCTGCCAGGGTCCCTTTTCAACCAGGCGTTCCAGTTGAAAACCAGATGCCTGGTAACCCTGCCATAAGCACCTCCTGTGAAATCCTGCTACAATCAATGCAAAGGCTCCTCTGGAGACAGCAGCATTAATGGCACCATATCCCCTCTTGGCTGTAGGGCATCAGTCAAGCCTTAGCAGAGATCAATTTCTTAATAGCCATACACAACTAGCATTCTCTGCTCTACTCCCCCTCCCCCCCCCCCCCATCATCAAATCCAAGCAGGTCACTGGTATGACAAGCCCAGAGATGAGAGATCTGACTCCTCTCCTGCCAAATTTATGGTCTGACTACAAAAAGGTATTTTTAACTGACACTTTCAAGTCAATAAATGACTCAGCCACTGCAGCAAGGGGACTATTGAGCATCATACTTGAAAAGCCAGGACTCCTTGGAAACACAGGATCACATACTGGTAAGGCAGCCTTCATCCTGCCAACAGAAATACTTTGTAGATCTTTTAGACAAGACTTCTGCAACCATGGTCCTCTCTGCTCCATAGTAGGTAAGAGGACACCGCTTCAGCTACCCAGTAAGCAGTGATGACTTGCCTGTTTTTGCCATCTTTCTATCACAAACATCCAGGCTGTTCCCGCTTTCAACTCATGTACATTTGCTCTTCAGTTCCCAGGCAAGACAGAACATGATACAGGCAGCACCTTCTCCAGCTCACCCTCTGTATTCTTCTACTTCTTGTTCCTCCCAACTATATATATAACCTCCTATTTACTGAGCCAATTGTCTCATTAGCCCAGTAACTACCACCCAGGTGTCAATAATCCCCACCCCGCAACAGAAACTGTGACCCCTGCAGCCTTCTTTATGCTGCTGCGACTTCAGTGACCAGGCTGCTATAGTTAGCCCTCTGGCAAAGCATCCAAAAACCCAAGACACTTTTTTTGCGGGGTAAGTGACAGAGCTGGTCCTAGTGTCATTGGCCAAAATGTCCACTCCCATATCACTGTGTAGGGTGCTGTGTGCCAGCTGCCTGAGTGGCAGCATTTCACTGATGGCTGAGGCCATTTCTGTATATATATGGTGTATAAAAGCCTATGGGATGAAAAAGTACTATATAAATGCCAGATATTATCCTCTTGCTAGGACAAATAGCAGGGTTGTAGCTGGGACCCAAATTATCACAGGCTATTATACCAGGGAAGGAACTAACTATACCAGAACAGAGGAAAAGCAGTAAGTAGCCCTTGGACATTTTGGTCAGAGGGTCTTAAAAACCAAGCTGTAGTTTCAGCTAGTGGAAATCAGCACCGAAGTCAATGGAGCAACACTAGGGTTACCATATCTAATAAATAAAAAAAGAGGACCCTCCATGGGCCCTGGCCCCGCCCATTTCCCCACCCTAACTCCGCCCCCTCCTCCCTCCCACTCACAGCCACATGGAAAGGGCTGCCCCAGCGCTACCAGCTTCACGGTTTGCCAGGCAGCCCCCAGACCCTGCGCCCCCGGCCGGCGCTTCCCCAACGCAGCTGGAGCCCGGGAAGCACCCAGCCGGGGCGCAGGGTCTGGAGGCTGCCCGGCAAACCGTGAAGCTGGTAGCGCTTGGGCTTCGGGCAGCCCCCTTGCCTCCGGACCCCAGCCGCCGGCCGGGCACTTCCCCTCCCAGGCTCCGGCGGTGCAGGGTCCGGAGGCATGGGGGCTGCCTGAAGCCGGTAGCGCTTGGGCAGCTCGGCTCTCTCGGCTCCAGCCGCGGCGGCTCTGCTCCTCCCCGACTCTTCGGTTCTGTTTAAGA